GAATGCATATGTTGTGGCATGAAGGTATATATCACATATCCAATAGTTTCTGCTTTCTCTGTTTCTGTCTTGCATGCTTTAAAGGGGTGTGAGTTGTTCTAAAACTTTTGTCCTTTTCATCATTACTAAATGCAATGAAATTACGAGAGAAGAAATAATTACTAGTAAAGGAAGTAGAGGAATTGTTGCTTCTTGCCGTGTTGAAATTTAGTAGAGTACTGATAGTGTCACAAAATCCACCCTTTCTGCCTCTCTCCCAATTATTCTAAAATTACAAACTCCCCAAAATCAAATGCTGGTCTTTCGTTTGGGTAGCTGCCTGGGCTTTATAATTCTTGATTATTAAAACTAGTTTGTGATAACTTTTGCAGACTAGAAGGTTGATTTCAGTCCACACTGGGCCTAAAACAAAATAATTTGAATATTTTTGTGAAAAGAATTCTGTCCTGTAAGAATCTTGAGGATTTAGGTTCAGGGAAAGGGGAAAAAAAATATTTTGCACCCAGCCTTTCTGAGGCTCAGACCTTGTCTGCATTGGTTTTCTGCCCTTACACTACTCTGTTCTGAGTCAGGAGAAGCAGGTACTTAGGTTTGTATTCTTTGAGGTTCTGTGACACAGAGGTGGCAGAAATATGAGCAGAACAGAAAGTCGTTTTACTTCCTAGAGCTCTGTTTAAATCCCCAGACTTTGCCCTTTTTTTCTGTTTTTCTGTAGTAAGAATGGGCAAGATAAATTAAGCAGGTAATTTGAAGTGCTTCCATTTTTTTATGCTAAGACCAATTGTAAATTTTATTCCTATAGATGTCCTATCGTGTTTCGTGGCTGCTTTTTCTGTGCTTACGAGGTTGGACAGTGTCCTGCCAGAGGCTCTAACCTCAGGGTCTTAAGTCATACCTCTAGGTAGTATCTATTGTCTACCTCTGTTTCTTTGGATTTTTTACCTTTCCACTGTGTTTCCACTAGGTATTAAAAGGTTGCAAGGCACTAGTGTTCAGTCATCCATTTATCTGAATTATTTGCCTGGTCCTGGTCGTTTGCTGTAACCAACCAGCGCTCTTCCATATGCTTCCTTGCATGATGTGGCCATGGTCATGGGTCAGAAACCATTTTCTATGGGCAACTTGTATGTGGCCACCTTGTTCTGCAGTTTGAGAGACTTCAGTGATGTGAACATGGCCAGAGCATGCCATGACAGGCTCTGATTTACATACAACTAGCCTAGTTATAGGTTTATGGTACAGCTGTCCAGGTTAGGAAACCAGGCCCTCTTAAATTTACTGTGTAGCTCTTGTTCTTGCCTTTTTCTTTTGATAAACCACCAGCCTATGGTTTATAACTTGATCCTTCAGAGCCACGTAGTGGGTGAAACCAGAAGCATGTTTTATAAGTGGAGTACCACTTATAGTGCAGTGGTACTAATACTTCTATATCAAGCTTATTTGGGGTTTCTTTCAGCTGCTCTTTCTGCCAGTAGGTTCCAGCCATTTTTGCAGCTGGAAGTCAAGCACAAACTTGTTGACCGTTTGGACCAAGCAGAAAGTAAGGCAGCTTCTAATGCCTTCCCAGCCCTGACAGTATTGAGCAATAGATTATTTGTGCAGCCAGTCTGTCCTTAGATTTTTACCTACCACATTGTAATCCATACTGATTCCCTTACTTTTAGTCCTGTGTGATAGTATTCTGGGAAAAACAGGGGAAAAGTAAATTTAATGTTGGACATTGTAAGAGAGTGCTTTTTAGGAAGTGCTATTTAATTGTTGTTTCCTTTTCCATTAAACAGCTGAGTGTTACTGTGGAAAAGCTAGCTGCTTTATTAGAAAAACAGTCAGAAATTCGTTTACCAATGATAATGTGAGTGAACAAGTGAAATGATATCATTCAAATTAATTTTTATTGCTAATGGACTGATGCTTTTCTTCTGGGAGTAAAGCCATAATATAGAGATATTATTTCTAGGCCTTGCTGGAGATGGTGTTTGGTGCCAAGGTGGTTGTCACTGGCGATGGATTTGTTCCTGGAGAAAGGAGTGTCATTATCATGAACCATCGCACACGAATGGACTGGATGTTCCTGTGGAACTGCCTGCTGCGATACAGCTACCTCAGACTTGAAAAAATCTGTCTCAAATCCAGTCTCAAAAACATTCCGGGATTTGGTAGGTCACTAAACCTTTTGATTTGAAAGGAAAATGTGTTTGAATTTTGCCCAGCATTGTTCATACCTTGTTAAATGACATAGGATTAAATTCTATTGCAGAATTTTTTTCAAGTGTAAAATATGTGGCATGATCAGTGATTAAGCCATAAATCTCCTGGAGGGTGCCGGGACTACATGCTTAAGCATTTCTTTTTAAAGATATTACATGTGCTGCTGTTGCTTATAGGTGTAAATATTTCTGCTTTACATACTGAAAGTATTTTTCAAAATTATGAAAACATATCTTACAAGTCTTTTCAAAGTCTCTTTCAGCCCTTCGTTTTTGTTACTGTCTCACCCCACATTGCAAATGCTCTCATCATGCTTCTTTCTTCATTAGCCAATTTATACTATTATAAAGATTAAAAAAAAAAAGAAAGAAAGAAAAAAAACTGTAGGCAGTTGCAAAGTTGATGGTTCATTTTAATAACTGTAGTTTTAAATTGAACTTGGTTACGCAAAATATGCTCTACAGGATGTGAAATAATCAGTATTTATGGTGATGTAAGTTGGAAACTGATCTGAGTTGCACATATTCAGAGAATATCATTTCAGATAGGTCAAAAATTGTTGCACAAATGGTTTCTGAATAAATAGGCAGACTTATCTGAAATAAAAGCATCTCTGCATTTTATTTATCTCTTAGATTTATTTGCTGTTTTATACAAAACTAGCTTGGGCAGGATACGCGTCAACTTTATGATGTTGAAAGAGTAACCTTATTTATGGTTCCCTTTTGTCAGGCCATTTATCTGAACTGATAATTTTGGCAGGATTCCATACAGAGGAACTCTCATACTGTTGTGCTGTTACTGCATTGACTTGCTGAGCCTTTAGTCCTCTGAAGTAAGAGCTGCAGCTAGGTAACATGCTTTTTTCCCTAACGGTCAACCGTTAAGGTCAATTTTTCTTGACAAAAGACATCTCTTCAGTGTTCCAGGAAATGAGAAAATACGTATTTAGATAAATGTTTTATCTTCACAATAAAGCAGGGATGTTTTGAAATCTTTGAATCAGCTGCAAATACAAGTTTTTAAAGCAGTGATGGAAGATGGAATCAGGAGCATAGTCTGGAAGATGCATAGGTTTCTCTTCAAAAGTAGCTTTTTTTTTTTTTTTGGTAACAAAACATTTGTATGTATGCTTGTTAATGCCTTCAAGAAAATTTGAAGGTCAGCACAGGAGGCTTAGCTGCTGTGTTATGGCTGGCAAAATTTGGTTCCTGAAAGGGTGTCAGGAGGTTTTTTAGAGTTTGATTGATTATTTTCCCCTCCCCTCCCCCCCCAGTTCTCAGTTCTGTGCATAAACTGAGCACATCCAGCAGATTTGGTGAGTAGGCTCGGGCAGATGGAGCTGTGGCAGGTCAGCATTAGCAGACCACGGTGCCATTTTGTTCGTAGTCTGACACAGTAGCTTAAGCCACTAATGGAATTCTGGGCTCGTACTCCACTTTGTGGGCTGTGATGGTAGAGGTGGCACAGGCAGGTGTTTACTCCTGTTGTTTGTGTTACAGGATGACAATTCCTGGTAGTAGATTGGGTGCCTGGATCTGTGGTGTTATAAACCACTATTTATAGGTCAGATCCCTAAGCACCCTCCACAATATATGGGCTTTGAGTACTTTGATTGCAACATTGTGAATTTTAGCTTATTTTTTAGTAGACTGTTAATGTTGCGTTCTTAGTCATAGGAGAGGAATCCAGCTAAACCATGTCCTTCACTCAAGCCATAATTTGATACCCTCAAATTGTAAGTGTTCAGCTTCTATTCTGCCATCGTGTATCTGAAAAGAGGCCTTAGAAGTATGTCTGTATGTTGAGACAGCCTGTGTTTTGAGTGGCAGATTCTTGCAAAAACAAAGTATTCTGTACAGCTGTGAGATTAGGGGAGAGGTGGCAAGTGAGACTCTTGGATGAAATTCAGATTGAAGGAAAAGATTTCGTCATCAGTCTGTGTGAAGTTTGGTGGTGGTGTGATACAGCAGAAAATAGTCTCCAAAGTGGACAACGCTGAATCTGATCAGTAAGAGGAGTATTTCTCCTACTTATCTCTAATAGCCCTGCAGTGTTATGATTTTTAATAGGTGTTTGTCACTTTTGTTGGTTTCGTTTTTGTTAAATTGTGTCTGGTGGTTTCACATAAAAGTTTTGTTTATTTTATGAGCTTGTGAAGGCAAGAAGCTAACTTGGAAATCAACAAACTGCGCAGTTTCAGTGAACTGTGTCTATAGATGATGGTTTAAGTGCTGATCACTTGAGGTATAGTATTTGTGGAAATTAAAACAGATACTTTCATCATGTGTTTCTGCTTCATCTTTTCATATATTTGTATTTTTTAGTTGTATAGAGTCAAAAGTAGAGGATCATGGAACTAATGATATATGGACTAAATGTAACTTCTAATAAATCTTTAGTGGTGATTTTGAATATTTGAATGAATATACTGTATCGCTTTCGGCACGTTTTTTTTCTGATCTTCCAAAGGATTTTTTTACAAGCATTTCATTAAAGATTATGTGTAAGATGAGGTTTTACAACCCTTTAATTCCCATGTTGCTGAAAACATTGTGAGTATTAAGCATTGCACCTTTGTTGTTATCAGTACTATCCCAGTTGGGGTGTAAAAATAGGTCTATGAGAGCTTATGCTGATCCAAGAGGTATATATGGTAGGTGAATAGCAAAGTTTGGAAGGCAAATAGATCCGGAGTCCTTGTTGCCCCCTTTGTAGGTTAAAAGTGTAAAGGTATCAGATTTAATGAGCCTGTATTACAAGCAGGCAGTTATTTTCTAGTTAATTATAATTAAAATCAGGGAGTGAGTATTTCAAGGAGAAGAATTGTGTCACCTATCTAGTTCTTAATTTCTTAATCCTTTGCATTCCAGTGTATGAACAACTTTAAATTGATTAAAGGTAAGCCTTAAAAAAAAGGAGCCCGAAGAAAAACAGATGGTCCTTTCTTCCTGGAATCCGTAGCTTTGGCTTGATAAATTGTGTGCAGTAAAGTTTTCAGAAAGAGGTATTACATTTCAGTAATCTCAATTGCAGAAACATTCTTGCAGCGTTTCAGTACAACTAGCCAAAGTTGGCATCTCGAGGGAGCACTACCCTGCTCGTAGCTGTTGCTGCAGTTTCTCATCTGACATCATCAGAAACTACTGACACATTCTGCAGTGTCAGTTTTCAAGGAGAATTTCTAATGGCATTGACAGTTTCCTGCGCAGTCGGACAAGACCAGATTTCTCTACGGAACTTACATAGATATGTACAATTTATATTCCCACCTATTCTCAATTAATAAGGAATACTATCAGAAGTGATACAGATTATGATGCAGTTGCCTTCATATACGCTGTGGAATACGTACTGTTCGAGGAGATACCAAAGAACATACGCAGTAGTGTCAGATGACCAGATAATCACTGGTAGTTAGTTGCATCCTTTTAATTTTTTATCCTAATAGTTTCATTTGTAAGAGTCTCGTTGTGATGTGGACCAGTAATACTTCACTGGAAATAGAGATGTATTTTAGTGATGGATAATACGCACGTGTTCATTGTTTTAAATAGGATTGTAATTAGTGGTGGGCTTGCAGTAGTATTTGGATTTTAGTGGTTTAAAAGTGACAGGCACCTACATGAACGATAAATTAAAATTTGGGTTTAAATTGAGGACTCTCAGATGAACTGATGGAAAAATGAGAGAAGCTAACCAAAGGAGTTAGTGTCAGGCCATGGCTTCTAAGTAAGATACTATTCACTGTGGTTTTGCTTACTGCAGATGGAAAAGGTAAATAATACCATAATTCAGTGTACAGTGTAAAGTATGCAGGTCCTGCAGGTACTATTGATGGGCATATCTTGAAGACTTACTGTTATTAAGAAGGCTCACTGAGAATGCTAAAGCAGGGAGTTATAGCTGCACAGGACTGAGGTGGGAACAGGTTAGGAAAGGACAAGATGATGCACGAAAAAGGAGGATAAGCAAAGCAGGCAGACCTGGAGTAGTTGGGAGCAGAGATAACTGTAATTCTGTCCAGGTCTTCATTTCTGTGTTCACGTTACTCTGTGGCTAACATGGCTCTTGAAGATGCTGCAACATGTAGGAGCTTTTGAGCTGTTTTTTTCACTCGTCCGGTCACTCGTGTTGCAGCTCTCAAAGGCTCCAGTTAGGTTTGGCCCTTGTTGTGTTAAGTGCCAAGGGAAACAAAAAAACGGACTTGTGCTCCATTTCAGCACTGGCCTTAGCCCCACTGATCTTTTCCTGCACGTGGGTTGATCCATTGTAGCTGTCCGTGTGTGCGAGCTTCGCCTGAAGCAAATTCAAAGTAATTTGAGTCATCTTAGTTTTCAGTGAAGCAAGGCAAACCAACTCAAATTATCCTGCCTTTGCCACGGGCTAAGAGCGTGCACACCGACAGCTATGATGATGGATCAGCTACCATGAAGTAAAATATTGGTGTCGCTAAGCCTGGAAAATTTTAGCACTTAACTCGATTGGAGCGTAGTTAAAGCAGGGAACCTGCACGCATTTATATTGGCAGGAAAGCGTTTGTGCTGCCACAGCTACTTCTGGAGGTGGGGATAGAAATACTTCAGCAGAAAGCGTCTTTGTTGGGGTTACAGCTGGATTTGCATTCAAATTCTTATCAATAGAGCTTATTGGTTTAAAAAATTGAAAGTGTAACCTACTGAACTTTGTAGTATAGCTCATGTCTCGAGTATCTTTGTTATGTTAAAATAGGCTGAAATGAGAGTTTTGAGGAGCTGTGACAATTTGTCTTCTAGCAATTCAATTATGAACTGCCAGGCTTAATTACCTTAGAGTTGTTATCCTACGTGATTTTTAAAGCAGAAGTTAAAAAGTATGCTCTCTGATGGAAAGCATAATTGTTTTTCTAACAGTTGTTCACGCTGCAGACAGATATGCAAGGCTCTCTTGAAGAAGCTGTGAGAGGGAA